ATTTTTTTTCGCAGAGTTATGATTATTTAAACATTTGAGATAAGGACCCCGCGGTTCGTCACTTCCGCCATGTTTCATGACTCCAAACCTTCTATGTTGTGCGTGCGTGCGTGCGTGCGTGCGTGCGTGCGTGCGTGCGTGCGTGCGACTGCGTCGCGTGCGTGCGTGCGTGCGTTCGTGCGTGCGTGCGTGCGTGCGTGCGTGCGTGCGTGCGTGCGTGCGTGCGTGCGTGCGTGCGTGCGTGCGTGCGTGCGTGTTTATATAATATATGTATATGTGCGTGTGTGTGTGTGTGTGTGCATGCGTGCGTGTGCGTGTGTGTGTGCGTGTACGAGCGCGTGTGCGTGTGTGTGTTGTGTGTTACACAGTGTGTTACATAAAATACGGCGGAAGTGACGAACCGCGAGGTTTTTATCTCTATGTGACACACACACACACACACACGCACACGCACACGCACACGCGCGCACATACATACAACAGAGAGGGTTTGAAGTCATAAAATACGGCGGAAGTGACGAACCGCGGGGTCCTTATTTCAAATGTTTAAATAATCATAACTCTGCGAAAAAAAATCGTAGAGAGCTCAGCGACCCCGCGTTTTTCTCGTTTCGGAAAGCCCTTTTGAACGAGCCCTCACTCGACCCCACATTCCATTTAAGATTTTTTGACCTCCTTTTACTCCCGCCCCCCGGAGGTGCGGAAAAGGGTGTTTTTGTGATTAAATAATAGACTTTGTGATTCCATTGTATTCCTATAAATTTCAATCCTATATTACAAACCATTCAAAAGTTATTTAGGTAGCCCGGAACTTTTGGCGGGCACTGTATACCGGAAAAAAAAGTTGCTTACAAAAAGTATCATTAGCTTAGCGTTAGCGTACAAGTCTGCTATTCTAGGGATCCCAGGTTCAATCTTGATTTGTTTTTAAAAATTATAACAACGTAATTGTAATTATTAATAAAATAGGGAATATGCAAAATAGAATAAACACAAATTAAATTCTAAAAAATAATAAGATGTAATTATAAAATAAAATAAAAAAATTTTGTTGGAAGGTGGCGAAATAAGTCCGTGATTTTTGTTGGATAAGCTCACAGTTTATTCTGTTAGACAAATTACAAAGAATGCTGAGAACTTAATACGCGCTGCTGACTCAAAATAAAAAAGAAAAACAAAAGGTCGTAAGTCCCCTTCGAAAGCGTCCGTCGCACGCGTGTACCGTATGGGGATCACTCGTACAGTGCGCGAGAGAGCGGAACCACCAACCGCGACCAATGCGAATCGAGGTGGCGCTTGTGCCAACGCCTCCACATGTCAGGACTCTGACTCATCCAACACTCCTCCTCGACATCTCGTCCCAGGTTAATCTTCCTTAATCATTATCTCCCGATAACAGACCGATCCTTTCTCATAGCCTCTTCAATCTTGTCTTCCCAAGAGGTTTTGTCAGCAGATCAGCTAGCATGTCCTCCGTTGGACAGTACTCGAAAACAATCTCTCCCCCTGCACTTAGGTCCCTCACAAAATGGTACTTTGCGTCAACGTGCTTAGTTCTACTGCTTGACTTGCTATTTTCCAGCATCTTCAAGCAGCTTTGATTATCTTCGTACACTTTCGTTGCGCCCGATGGTCTATTGTTAAAGCACTTTAATACTATACGTACCCATAAAAGCTCTTTGCATCCCTCCGAGAGGGCGATGTACTCGGCCTCAGTGGTGGACAGCGCGACGCAAGTTTGCTTCCTGCAACCCCACGCGATCGTTGCCCCATAAAGTTGAATCACATACCCGCTATTGGATTTTCTTTCCTCCCTGTTTTGTGCCCAATCTGCATCCATATATGCGATGAGCGTTTCGGCTCCCTTCGATGATCCCAATCTCAGCATCAGATTCTTAGTCCCCTTTAGGTATCTTACTACTCGCTTCGCTTCGTTCCAATCCGTCTTCGTAGGGGCCACCGTATGCTAACACATCCGGATGTGCCGTTATTCCTACATATAAGAGTTTCCCGATAAGTTTTTAATAGCCGCCGTTGTCCTCCAGAAGTCCAACAGCTCGATCTTGCTTAAAGTACCCCACGTCAAGTGGAACGCTCGAACACTTCGCGTCCTCCATCCTTGAACTCCTTACAATCTTTTCAATGTATGAGCTCTAATCTAGGAAAAAGGTACCGTCCTTCCTTTAAATTCTATAACCCAGGTAATTCCTTGGTTCTCCCAGCGCGGTCAGGTTTAACGACTGCTTAAGCGCCTTCTCAGCGTCGTCAATATCCTCCCGTCTCTTGCTCGCCATCAACAGATCATCGACATATACAATCAGGAAGACAGGCGCTGTCAATTGATTCTTCACGTAGAGGCAGGGGTCTGCCTCGCACTGCGTGAATTTTTGTCTTTTCAGAGTGTCTCTCAATTTGTCGCTCCAGACCCTCGCGGCTTGCTTGAGCCCGTATAAACTTTTCTTTAACTTACAAACCTTGTGCTCTTTTCCTTTCTCGTGGAAATCCTCTGGTTGCGTCATAAATATGGTCTCCTTCAAGTCCCCGTTCAGAAATGCTGTCTTTGCATCGTATTGCTTCACGACGTAGCTTCGCTGTCCTGCGAGCGTCAGAAAAATCCTAATCGTCTCCTGTCTTACGACTGGTGCAAAGACCTCGTCATAATCTGTGCCAAATTTCTGCGAGAACCCCTGTGCGATCAGACGAGCTTTATATCTGGAAATTTGCCCGGAATCGCTGAGTTTTAGTTTGTAGACCCATTTGCTTCCGATTGGTTTCCGGTTATCTGGCAATTCTACGAGTTTCCATGTCTCGTTTTCCTTTAGCAATTGCACTTCTTCTTTCATCGCCTTAAGCCATTTCTCTCGATCTGGTCCTTTTATTGCTTCCGCCATTGTTTGGGGTTCCGCTGTCTGAAACATTAAATTTGTAGTTCCTGCTTCGAATCTGTCTGGATTCTTACCCTTCGTCGAGCGGCTCGACTTTCGCAACCCTTGTTGCTGCTCGACAACAGCCTCCTCCTCAACGTCAGTGAATACGTCGTCAGAAAGCTCGGTACTGCTGCTCTCGATTAGTTCATCGTCATCTGACTCGTTTGTATCTGAACTTTCCCCGGATCTGATCGGTCTGTTTACCTTGTCTGGATCAGATATCTCTTCCAAGTCCACTTGCACGTGATCATGACTCAGCTCCCGAGAACTTTCTTCGTCGACAAACACGACATCTCTACTTATCACGATTTTGTTCGTTTTGGTGTCTATTAGTCGAAATGCCTTGCTCCCTTTCGCGTATCCCACGAATATCAACTTCTCTGCCTTCGCTGCGAGTTTATCACGCTTTATCTTTGGTATTTGCACATAGGCTGTCGAGCCGAATACATGTAGGTCGCTAAGGTCTGGCAACTTTGATTCCCAAAGTTCATAGGGTGTCCTGTCTGTGGCTTTAGTGATCAGCCTATTTTGCAAGAAATTTGCAGTGCTCAAGGCCTCACCCCAATACCTATTGTGCATGTCCGCATTCAAAAGCATACAACGAGTCATTTCTGTCAAGTACCTATTTTTTCTCTCCGCCACTCCATTTTGTTGCGGAGAATAGGGAGCCGTGAGTTGCACTCGAATCCCGTTTTTCTTCAGGTACTGAACGAAGTCATTGGACATGTACTCTCTCTCCCTGTCGGACCTGATAACCTTCGGCCTTTTTCCAAACTTGGTCTTCACCATTTCGAGATATTCCTTCATTGCGTCCGCCGTCGCTGACTTCTTATCCAGCAAGAAGATTTCCGTATAGCGACTGAAATCGTCTATAATTGTCAGAATGTATTTCTTTCCTCCTGGTGTAATGGTCCTCATTGGTCCACAGAGATCAGTATGCAGCATGTCCAAAACTTCCTTCGTCTTTGACTCCGACTTCTTCGGAAATGGCTTCCTCGCCATTTTTCCCTTGATGCAGCATTCGCAAGTAGTGCGAATTCCACAGTCGGTGAGCTTGATCCCGATTGCCAGTCTTTTATTGACCAAAAGCCTTACAGCCTCTGGATCCCTGTGTCCCAGCTTTCTATGCCAGGTGTGTTGACAATCCTTAGTGTGAGATGATTGCACTTGCAGTCCTTCGTGTTGATAACCTCGAACGAAATATAGTCCATTCTTCA